CGAACAAAGCGAAGCCGTAGTAGCTAGTAGTAATAATTACAATATTATAGTACTAGATAAGTGTTTAAACCTAGGACGTTATTTCATGGACTAATAAATATTATGACTATTCGCGTTGTAGTCGAAATTCGAGCATAATAATCATTGAAAATTTGAGGAAAACATATATGAATAGAATTTACCTATCTTAGATATAATAATAAACTAGCGTTTTCCAAAAGAATACTTGACACGAACTTGACTCGAACCTAGGACCTCTGGATCTGCAGATTATACTTACAGTTTAAGCGCTATAATATTCCTCGCTGGGTAGGTGTGGACCGCGAATTTGAGGGCCCTGGTCTAACACTTCATGGGGTCTAAAGTTGACACTTAGTTTAATTAATTACAATCAATCTAATTGTCATTTTGTCTTAAAAAATCTATATTGATAGATGGCTCTAGACGAAATTAATTATATTGTTTGATCCTGTTTTATTGATCTCAGGGCCATAAAAGATTGGCTTGGATTGAAAGGTTTTTTATTTTATATACATTTTTATTTTATGAATTCACGATATTGTCGATTGTTTTCAACAGGGGGCCCGTTATATCTTAGGGCCCCTGGGTTGTAATCCAAAAAGCATATATATATATATATATATATATATATATATATATATATATATATATATATCCGCCCCTGTGACGCTAAGGTTATTACCGGCAGTAATTGAGTATGTCATATGTGGATCATTGAGTGATATACACTAGGACTTAAGGTAACTAGTAACTACCCTGAAATTCCTAATTAGGCCATGAATTAACGCCCGAGGTTTAAGCGTTTATCTAGTGCTATAATGTTGTAACATACTATAGTAAACTAGCGTCTCAGCCTCGCTTCGCTAGAAAGATGAATACTAATCTATCCCACGGGAACCGTACATTTTTCCGGGATAAAAGTAGCCTATGTGTTATTCCAAACTATAATTTGTCTCTGTGCAGTTCTGGCGTGATTAAGTAACAAACATCCATCTAAAGTAACATTTATAATATTAGTAAGATAAAGACACAACAGTGCACTACCTTTTTGTCAACCTCCTTTTATTATTTAGTAAGAGCTTTAGTGTTATCAATAAAATATATTTGAAAACAGTTTTTATACATGGAATGATAAATTCTCTTCATATACTCGTATGTTTCAATTGTTGTGTTTCTTGTCTTCAAAATTGTTCAATAATGGTAGAATTTCAACCAGTAGGCGAATAATAAAATAATTGTAACATTTCAAATCATATTCATATTTTTTTATTACCACGAGAAAAACAAAGATGTAAACAAGGAATTAAAAATATATTGCATGTACCCTATTATTTTTTCTGTTTCACTCTCGAGAGTATTTTTATATAGTTCACAATAATTGAAACGATACTCCCACTTTGTAAGCGCACAGAATGTAGAGCTCGATTTTTCCTATAAGTACTGAACTGATTGAAAGTAAAAAGTGTTTTAAATCTGACCTGAACGTCTATTATTAACTTTTGAATAGCAATTTATTTCCGATGCAGTTCAGTTTAGCTTCTCAAATTGAATCGATTAACCTTAAATTTATTTAGGTTTTGTTTAAGCTGTGACCTAAACTGAACGAATATTATTTTAGGTCGTAAATTGAGTCCCACTAAGAGTTTTTGGTAAGCCCTTATTTTAAATATCATGTGACGGTAACGGACAGAGTAACTTTCACATTAGTAGTATTAGTATGATAGTTTGTATGTATGTTTGTTTGTTACTCCTTCACGCTGAAAGGGCTGGACGAGTTTGGATGAAATTTAGTACACAGATAGACATTGTTCTTTTTTTTATTGTTGAAAAAGCATTTACCCATACCCTCTGTATATATACAGGTGGTATGCGTATACAGGTGGACTCATCGTCTAGAAAGTCTTGTACTACCCACTAAAACCCAACAGTACCTCCCCCGTCTTAATGTGGCGTCGCGGGATCGCATACGCACTCAATCATGACGTCCCGATGGCAGGCCTGGCAGACCACACAACCAAGGTGTTGCTCTATCGGTCCATTCTACTGTCAGAGAAGTACAAGGAGCAACTTGCTTTTTCCAGTATGTCTCTTGGCTGCACGTCGGGGAAGATAGTTTGACCTGGAGTAATACATAGGCTAGCCATAAAATTGTTAGTAATTGATAAAAGATGGTGCTACGAAGATAATTAATTAACAAAGACTCTGTTACTAGTTTATTCTTTGAAGTACGTATAAACAGTGAAGCACTTTAGGTATGCTTGACCTTTGTTTATTTATTCAAGTTATTAAATGCTTAGACACGGCTTAAGGCCTTTAGGAATTTATAATTTGACTACTGAAATGCAAAAATGTTGTTTTAAACGAGTGTTCGCTAAGGGATCGAAATTCGTCCAGAATTAATATTGAAAAATTTAAGAAAAACTATATGAATAGATATGCAAATATCTATATAAAACAAACAGATTCTAATTTTTTTATTGATAACACTAAAGCTTGTCAATACCTACTAAACAAAACCAAAACAAAATCGGTTGACAAACAGAAAACAGAACAAACAAACAGAGAAACAGAGTTTTGTCTTTGCCTATTTATATGTAGATGTTAAATAATAGCTATTTATACCCGACTTACTAAAAATAGGTTCGGATATTCGACTATCTTTTGATTGTCCTCGCCGTCGCACTGCTCTAATTGAAAATGAATGAGCGTGTGTCACATCTTCACGCTGTAAAATCTTGATTGATTTTAGTAAAATTTGGAATTTAGTTAGTTTATATCCTGGACTACCACATACGATATTTTTAAGTATGTACACTGGTACAGCTCAAGCAAAGCTGTGGGAAAATACTACTCAAGTGAAACGAATTTTCGTGTAAAAGTCTATTTGAAGTACGAGTATTCAGCCCTTTTTAACGTCCCACTGCGGGGAGGCCTTACTTCAAATAAATAAATAAGTGATAATCATGTTGGAAATGATTCGTACATGAAAATATCAGAGGTGCGAGACTCGGAAGTTTGAACCCGCTTCACCCGGAATCCGCGAGCGCGTTACCACTATTTAAAGTATATTAAGTTTTAATACCATTAGTCTATACTAATATTTTAAATGTGAAAGTTTGTGAGGATTGATGGATGGATGTTTGATCGATGTTTGAGAACGACTGAACAAATCTGGATGAAAATTGGTACATAGATAGATTATAGTCTGGAGTAGCATAATAAGTTTTTAATAAATCTTTTTATTCCGGAAAAAATGTACGGTTCCCGTTGATAGATTTGTTTTTGACTAGGGACGAGCCCGTGCCAAGCGAGGGTGAATTAGTAAGATATAAAAAAAAAAATTTTTGGAAAGAGCAAGATGGATATCAAGTGAAGTAAGGTCAGCACGCTAGTTGCATACGCGTTAATGATCTAAACAATACTATTTTTAACAAGCAATTGTAAGAGTATCATATTTATAAATAAACAAAAGGTTATGCGCTTTTATTAACATATCCGATGTTTTTAATTACCGCCTGTAAAATACAATATCTAGAGAGTTATTGTAAAATAAATCGAATACAATTAAAATTCTAATTGATTTTTTGTTCAGCATTTATTTTCCGTATGCAGCGAAACCCAGGGAGGGTCATGTTTTTGACTTGTATGTATGTTTGGATGTCCGGTCCTATTTTCCCTCGTTACTACTAAACTGATTTTACTTATTCATACGTCAAATTTGCTAAGAGATGGCGCTGATTATTTCCGAAAAGATGAATAAGTACATACATATTATAGACTTATAATATATAATGTTGAAATCAATGATTTTGTATCAAGTATTTTACGGAAAAAGCACATTTATTTTATTAAATTAATTTTTATATCATTAGTTTACATATTTAAAAAACAGAGTGACTTCTGCAACTCCATAGGTACCTACGTTATATTTCTCCCTATTAACGTCTCTTACGCCATATGTCGGGGGTTCTATTTCCGTATAAGACAATATTGAAACACAACATAAGGCGTATTGGGTTAGGTTTGCGGTTTTCACCCAACCGCGGCGAAGCGCATAGGAGGGGTTATGTGTTTGACCTGAATGTAGGTACCTACTGAATCTATGTATGTTGTAAGCACGATCCTATTGTCCCTCGCAATTACTAAACGGCTTAACCAATTTTGATTATTGATACGTTATTGGATTTGTTTTGATAACACGAGTGTCATGAATACATGAATTTTGGATATTATTAAAAATTAAATTTGCAAATTCGAGGCGCTAATTTAAAAAACGTGACTTAAATTTTTTTCTCGTACAAACTTATCTTATTATTATATAATACATATAAGTATAATAACTAATATTTTTTATTATTAATATTATATAATTAACTTATAATTTAAAATATAAATAATTGTTAAATGAAATTAAATATTTCTTTCTAAGTGGTAAAAATAAGAAATATTAATAATGAAATTTAGATTTATATATTAAGTTATTCGTATAAAATCTCTGCCGTTTAGTAATGTCACCACAGTCTACTGATCCACACAGTCGTCTATGAAGATGCGGGGGGAGAAGCTGGTGAGGCACACTCAATTGTCATATTATGTACTTTTATACGAGAGTCAGGAAACAAAGGTTGACAGAGATAACTGTAACTTGCTACGAGATGGTGCTACAGATATTTAATTTCTCTTGTTAATCGCTTCAAAGTTGAGCATAGATTACTTCACCAATGCCACGTAGAATGGACAAAACGATTTTTAACGTAGAAACCATTTATTGTCAAAAATTGGCATTTTTGACAACCCTTACATTTAACAGTATATTCGTATAAATTAAAGGTGATCCTATTGTATAGACTTTTATACTGCGGTGTTAGTGTTTGCAATATTTGAATAACATTACCCATCTTCAAGGGTACTCGGGTAAAATTTACTACGGTCTACCCGCTGTATGTATGTATTTTCAATTATGTTTCTAATTTTTCCAGTTCTCCTTATGTCCTGGTTCGGAGTGGAGCAAGTGAAAGGAAACTCGTGCATCAGGACTGGTAATGCCAAACGTCATGCCAAATGTCACGTGGACGTTAGCTGTCAAATGTTTTAGTGTTGTGCGTTGAGTATCGATATCGATAAAATTTGCTTAACATTGATTCATATTTTTTTTATTAAATTGTTTTAGGTATTTTGACTGGTTTGGTTATAATTCTGTAGATTTTTTTGTTTTTAGCTGTCATGCCGTTTAATAATGTTGTTGGTAATAATATTTGTATTTAACATCAGGAAAATATTTATTCTATGTAATTAAATATACTAATGGAGCAAATGGATATAAAAACTTACAATTTATCTGTGAAATATACATTATGTCTATTGCAAAGCTATAAAAGATACCGTTGTGTTTTGAAAGAAGGAATTTATCTTTCATCTTCACTTACCGTAAGATTGTGAAATGTGAAAATCGAACCCCTGTCACAGGCAGATGCATTACAGTCGTAAGTAGATAGGCATATACGTAAGATTTTTTAATTAAGTAATCATTTATATTAGTATGAAATAATATTTTAAAATAAATTTTATCGATATCGATATTTACAACAGTTTGTTTTTGTGTTTGAGTGTCCATAGGAATGTGTGTTTACTGTTGAATAGGAATGGTTTAAAATGTGTGCATGATGTATTTTTTTTCCAAATTTCGAAACACTTTCCACGAGAGTATATTGTAACACTCAAACATATATCCTGTGAATAACTGACTTAAATAAACTACAATTTTTTACAGACAAAATTATAGGGTCATGGTAAGACGTTTTTTTTTAATAAACAATCTATCTTCTTACCAGTAAATGTCTAATCTGTGTTTTTGTTTCAACTAGAGATCTTTCAATGATTTTTTTCATCTATCTTTTATTTTGTTAACCCAGTCTACGGTTATATATTCAGTTATTTACAGGACGCTCTTGCTCTTCTAACTTTCTGTTAGAATACTTGTGTAGAACGTGTTTTTTTTTCTTTTTTTTTTCTTTTTTACTAATAATAGCATGGATTTTCAGCATTGTGGACACTAAGTCTGAGTCCCCTTGTTCAGGCGGAATGCCAAAGTAAGTATTACTTTTAAATAAACAAAACATACAAAAGCCTCAGCCTAAAGTCACAAAAGCTATACAAATTTGCTTAAAAAATCGCTTAGTGGATAAAAATGACTAACGTATACCTACTAATAACCATGCCGTAGACTGGGTACAAAGTCTTCAGTTTAAATTTTTTTTGTTCACTGCTTTTTTATTGGACTATGTTACACTCTTACTTGGATCTTTCAATCTTTAACGTCTTCCAGTGAAAATAAAGAGTTATCGATATTATCGGTACAAATATCTCATCATAATATTATTTTTTCTCTATAAAAATTACTAAAGTTCTAATACACATATAATTTAAATTAAAATCACAACCTTTTTATGTTATTGAGTAAGATCCACAAAATTATAGTTCGTTATAATTATAAAATAACTTTAATTAGCAAAAATAGTGAGCAAAGATGAAAGACTAAAATAGTGAGCAAGGTCTCAAACTATCTTCATACCAAGTTTCATCTAAATCGATTTAGCGGATTTTTAGTTTATCCATTACAAACAAACATACAAAAAAAAATATTTTCCTCTTTATAATATTAGTGTAGATATAAAAAAACATATAAAATTTACCAAAAAATAATCGAAGAAACTATCTGAAATGAAAAAAAACATTGCATGCATATAAATAGTCACCAATCATTGTCACTTACTCGATAATAGGCTTAGGTTTTACGCTAATACTATTTGACGCTTCACTTAAGTCAATTATCTTATATTTAAAACCTAGCACAATGGTGTCGATCTAGAAACTAGATCTAGATTAGGTACGATTTATGCTTGTTTCATTTTATAGGCTGGGAAATGTTATCTAGGTTTAAAAGTTGGGGTCCATTTTTGTACGAATTTTATCAATTGCTTCAACTACAGGTACATGATAAATAAGATTCTTTTTAAGATTATTTGCGTTTTTATTTTTATTTTGGCTACCGAAGTTTCGAATGAAAAACAAAACATTTTCAAATTGTATAGCTAAAGTGATCTCAATTTTCTTCCAATTTTTGCATAGACCGTGTGTAATAACTACTTATAAACTTTGCTGTCAAAAACTTATTCTCTCCCGTGACCATGATAAATGTAAAACACTGGAAATGTCGCAAAATAAAATTATAATACATAAATCGCGACAAAATCCAAAAAAATAGTTTAATTTAAAAGGAGATTTTCATTTACAATTTTTTTTTATTTATTATTCCTTCATCATCACCATAGTTATTATAGCTTCATCAAAACAAATCGTAATATTAACCAACCAAAAGAAACGTTGGCGTGACTAGGTCACCTAGGTTTTGCATGCTACGTACTAAATGAACATTCTGAGAAACTTAACAAAAGGTCGTATGCATGATTACATGTTTTGTAAGTTGTGGGGCTAAAAATAATTTAGAAGCATGTTCGCTATCGCACAGTATAACACAGCTGTAGTACATCGCCAAAATGACCTAACTTACACTTTGAGAATTTTAAATAAAACTATCTTTTTGGTTTTATCTTGATTTTTGGTCCCCGACGTTTCGAATGCTTTACAGCAATCATGGTTACGGGAGAGATTAAGGTTTTAGATGACTCAAAGGTCAAAAGAAATTCTAAAAGATAATTTTAATGCCAAATATTTGCGTTAACTCTGAGAATTTTTCAAATAATATTTAGTACCATGACTTGATCAAGTTCCATCTTCAAAAATCGTTTTATTCTGTTACAATAATATCTGTATTTATCGTAGTATTAGTCTCAGTTAGGCCACTTTTGAGCTGATAGCTTCATCCAGCACATGTACATACACACACTACTCAGTTTCTCAGCATTGTTCGAAACAACAAACAAACATTTCATATCAGTATTAATATAACAACAAACATTTTATTGAAAGTGATAAATAAAAATTTTCAATTCACCACTAACAATAAATACTATACATCATTTTTAAAAAGAAAGTTATGAGTCTTACCTATGATCTGAAAAGCTTTACCTATTTAAAACCTTCAGGACTTGCCTTTTTTTATATTTGTTTCAAACGAAGGTACTACAAATGGTCAAAAAAAATACAAAACAATAAAATGGTTATGTAAGAACATAATATGATACACATAAATTATATAATTTAATTATAAAATCTTTTAAATAAAATCTATTTCGTTTATTTATTGACACAAGAAGCCAATTTTGAAATCGGTTTATTCTTTTGTTAAAAATAATTTCAGGGGAGCTTTTAACTCTAACCACACTAACCACTAACCAACTAACCTTTCACATATTTATTTATCACTGTCAATAAAATTTACAGCGGAAAATATACTGCTAATTTCCATAGACTAAGTCTAGTGACGAAATCTTCTACGATTTTTTTTTAATTACATTAAGATGACTACGGTAGAAGAAGGGATGTGGGACATAATAATAGATTTAAGATGTGCCTCAAGAAACGCTTGTTATTTAGACAATGCTTGCTTTTGCCTAGAATCCTTCGTATGAAAAATCCTGATCGAAGTTAGTTTGGAGTGTTGTTTGAATTGATTGGCTTAATTTTTATTAAAACAAAATTTTACTTTAGATGTGTGTTAACAAGTGTGGCTTCAAAACCGCTTTTGCTAGGCTTTTATAAAATTAGCGTTTAAAATATGTATAACAACTCGCTTTTTAAATGCGTATATGATTCTTGATATCAGAGGTATTCTCTGGAGGCTCAACCTAATCGATTTTCTTCTATCACTGACGTCATTAGAAAACTTTAAAAGCTCGAGAATGACATATCCCAGCGATATAACGACAGCATATGTCATTCCTGTACATTTTAAGTTTTTTATTGACCATTACGAGTATAACAATACAATCAGTTATTGTTATAGTACATGGAAAAAAGCAATAAACATTTCGTCAATTACATCCAGTAACTTAAAAACTAAACTGAATCGAACTGAAAAGTCCGTAAACATTTTGGTAATTACCAAAAAATTGAGGGTTATTGATTGCAAGGTGATGTCGTCCAGACTTTCTATGATTGACATGCCCAATTCGATCGACAGCTCGAACGATATACTGTTACGAGTGTGACAGCTGGACGGACGCGCGGTGTAAGGACCCTTTCAATTACACCGCTTTGCCCCGCGATCAGCCTCCACTTCAGACCTGCAACGGCTGTTGTGTGAAGATGGTGCGCTATTCTAAGAGCCGTGAGTATCAAATTAATAACATGTTGAATAGTCACACATTTTATAGAATTTTAATTAAATATATGCCGTTTGCTTAAACAAATCGAAATTCCTGTTATTAAGCAATAAAAATATTAGTTTCAAAATTGTGATTTTTTACTCTTTTGAAGATAACGCGGAGAATAAGTTAATTTTGAACAATATATACTTGGGCAATATAGTAGATAGTGGATACTTCGCATTTAAAAATGTTGATTCCAGGCTTTTTTGGTCATGAATGAAAGCAGACTATCATTGATGACATCAACTACTTCCCTGATATATAAATAAATAAAATAAAAATAATATTTTTTAAATTGGATTAGTAGTTCTTGAGATTAGCGCTTTCAAACAAACAATCAAACTGCCTCTTTGTAATATTAGGATAGAATTAGATATTCGTCATCGGTTTCGTCGTTAATACTTTCATGTTGACTGTTTCTATAAACTTAGTGGAAGTTAGAATAGCCACTTAACATTGACCACTATCAAATGTATAAGTTTTCCTATTTCCTAAAATTGTATTTATTAAACCGACCACGTTATATTTATATTTTATAATAAAATATACAATAAGACTAAATAATGGTAAAAATTGAATTAAAATTTATGACTAATGCTTTAACTTTTAGATAAAGGAATATTAAAATATCATTTTTGTTACAGCATACGAAGTGGTTCGTCGAACCTGCACTTCTCAATTGCAAATAAACCTCTTCATGGTCGACCACGTCTGCATGATGGAAAGTACAGGCACAGGTCACATGTGTTTCTGCGAAGAAGATATGTGTAACGGCGCATCGACAGTCGATAAAACTCTGGCATTGACAGCACTAGTGTTGCTAGCATGTGCATGCTGCAGGTGAAGTAGAACTAGTGGTGGCCACTCGATCGAACCATCGAATATCGATTCGGAGATTCGATTTGTCGATGCTCGGATCAGTGGCGTAGTTTTATTACATTCTTCGTCCAACTGTAGTTCGTAGTTAAGAGGTGCTTAGTTGTCACAGCTGTTAATCTAATTTTCGGCCATCAATCGAAGTCATCGGCATGCACCATTTATGAAAAAACTAAACTTGGAAAAAAATGTTTTTCATCGACCATTTCGTATTTGGCTGCGCGTATTCTGTTAGTGTGAGAACTAAACGCTTTCCAGTTTTTTTAATAGTACTAACATCTCTATATTCTCTTTAAAAAAATAAACTATAAGACGATAATTTATTAGATAATAAATAGTTAGTTTTCAAATATTCGAAAATTTCTAGCGTTAAGGAGTCAGTCACATAGTGATGTGCGACTGTTTTGTCGATGGCGATGCTTATCTTACTGGTCCAATTTTGACCAAACTTAAATTTGCTCATAGATGCACTTAAATAGATGTGGAGCACTTTAGTTAGGAAGATGACAGACGACTAGCGATAACTGCCGCAAGTAGATGGGTTAAGATAGGTGATAGGCATCAACAGTCGTACTAAAAGTGATATTGTAGAAATTAAAAATTTCTATTTCTAAGTATTTCTTAAATTTTAATAGAGTTGCGTGCTAAAGGGAATGTATTCAGATTTCAAATATTCTATCTAAGGGGCTTAAACAGATGCCATTCTTCAATTGTTGCAGAATAGAAATCAAAAATATATATATGTATATTTAAGGGAATGACATTATGTTTCTATGACGATTAAATTTGTCATTTCAATAAAATTTTCAAAATTCTATTCTTGAACGATTCTAAAATGACATCTTGGCTAAGTTCTAGCATAAATGTAACAATTATATGAGCATCATTGGAAAAAAATTGATCGCATATTTATGTGGGTAATAAACTTCCGAGTCGTAAACTTTACGCTGAAACTGTAAATAAAGCATACTTTAATTTTACGATGAATGTTATACGTATTTTATGTTTTAAAACACGTATTTTGCATATTCCATACTGCTTTCACCTAAAAGTAGTAGATTCTGAATCAATAATAATCTATAAAATCTATTCCTAAGAGTAGGGTTTTCATTTTTTTTTAATATTATTGAATTTAACTTTTCTTTATATAAATAACAAATGAAAACTGAATACACCTCTTTCACACAGTAAAGAGTGAGATGCAACATTTTTAATCGTTTCACTTGCATTTTGTACCTAAGAAAAATCTATATTAGGTACGTTACGACTAAGACAATCGAAGGCTTGACGCCGTGATAATTTTATTAAAAAATGATACCTAGACGCAATAGCATGTTTTGTATTTTATAATTTAAAGCCGCTACGGCGACCAGTTATATTGAATTCAGCTAAACCCGTTTAACTTTTCATCCTCAATTTACTAATCGAGGATATAGGATATATCTTATCCTAAAAATTAAGGATAACTCTAGTGTGTCGCTGGTGTGTAATTATGGTGTTTTAACAAATTGGTAAAGACTGGTCGTCAGTTGGGAACGGGTTTTAGGATGGTTTGGTGCAATGTGCGAATAGGCTAGGGTTACACTATTTAAAAAATCTAGATTTAGTGAGGTATCGCATACTGACCTCGATTAGATGTAACTAATTTTTTAGGAAAATAAACACCAAATAAATTAAAAAGTTATTATCTTGTAGATATATATTGTTAAATTTTCATTTTGTTTCATTTTATATATGAGGTATAGTATAATATAACATAGTTATTCACCTTCCCTAATATAAGCTGTTTAAAAATTTTCGTTTTAAATCTAATGAATAAAAAAATCTTTTAGCTGAACTAATCGCGTACTTCATATTTATCGACAATTCTTATCGACCTCTTGAACGCCTTACGCTTTGTACCATACGATGCAATGCGTCTTTATTCAGCTAAATAAAGTAATATAGAAAAATGTATATAAATATATTTAAAAGTATGATATTGTGAAATTATAAGCTCTTAATGTTAGTTGATAGGATGTTATGGTATGAACTGATCTTTTTAATTGTTTTTGGCTCTTTTTATTTTTTTTAAACCATATAAAAAAATTACTCTAAGTGGTTTCATCCAAACTTATGAAATGGTTTGATGAGTTTTTTCTATATTTTCAATTCAAGGTGTTTTAAATTGATTTTTGACTTTTGAATATTATATAAATCTATCCTTCAATCATAAGATGTCACTTAGAATTGTTTTTACAATTGTGCCCAAGAACAAAAGCCATAAAAATTATAAAGAATCTTAATATGAAATACATATTAAGTGACTTTATTTCTTACTCATTTAATATTATCTGTTGCATAAAACTATTTTTTAAAAATTAACAATTAAAAAACATTTTTGGGCACATCGACATTATACTGTTTTTTCTGTTTCTACCTCCTTGTCACCAAAAATAATGCATAGGCTCATCCAAATATATCTTTCAAATCTAAAATTCAAACTTAAAAAAATGAACAGTTTATAACATAACGTCCGTTTAAAATATTAACCGAACAAAATATCGTTGTATTTTACATGCCGTTATACTTTTATCGTTATATATAAAATAACGTTACAAAATAATTATCAATTATTTTTTACCGTTTATAAGCATTGCATGTTCCGTTAATTTGAAGGCGAAGGTCCTAGCATGAACACTGCACCGTAGATGGGCCTCCAGCACTTAAACTGTAAGTAGGGCTGCCAAAATTTGGGGAAATTCCCTAGAATTTTGCTGAAAAAAAAATCAAACTATAGACATAAAATGGACTGTTCATTGCCTTTAAAACAAACTTTTAAGACAAAACGAATTTGCCGCCTAAATATAGGTTTGTAACTATGCACAGATTAATACATGGACATGGACAGATTGTTACATAGATCAATAAAATAACAGAAAGAGATATTAAATGGCTGCAACGTCGGTTTGTCTCGGTCACTCCTCTCAGTCTATTAATCTATGTCTATATAAAAAATGAACTTAGATATCTCTACTTTAAATTCTAAAACACTACCATTAGGCAGTCCTACATTAAAAAGTAAACTATTTTTCTTCAATAGTTATCACTGTAATGTATATTTAAGAACACAACGTTCCGTATTGTGTATGTTGTTATCGTTATTTAACTTAGTGAATTCCGTTATATTAAATATCTATTGTTTAAGAATATTATTATTATACAAAAAGTTATTGATATCGTTATTTTAGTCTAAAAAATATATTTTATACATAATTTGAAACGTTCGTGTTTTAAATTTATTTTATGTAATAGTAACTTTAATATTGTTAACAATAACTAACATTAATTCGCTTTAATTTTAAACTATATAGTATAAGAATGGAATGTATTGTTGAAATATATTTTTTAAAAAGAAATCAATGCTTTATGGCAAAATTAAAAAAAAAGTAAGTTAAGTTTAATTGAACCATTATAAAACACAAAAAAGTTTTGAAGACATTTTACAAAAATTAGATTTGAAATAATAAAAATTCAGCATCCATAATCACTTTATGATATAAAATTCTATTCTAATCTTAATAAAGAATATATTTCAACACTAAATATTTTAAAATATCTCCTCTTCACATTGCGATTGCATATCACGCATCTAGCTGTTTCTAATATAGGCTCCTAGAATTTCTTACATATCGCGTTCCTTGCGAATGATTTAAGATTCTTAATAACTTAGCATGTATTATAACGATTCAATAACTGACCGGCCACAATTGAGTTTTTCTATTAATTCAATTATAAATTACAACTTTTCAATTATTTCAATAACAGAATTTCCGATTCAAGATTTTTCTCGATAAAGATAAATCTAATTAAAGGAATAATCGCCCGTCCTTTTCTAACGTATTAATATCATTTAGTTAGAAAGAGACGGATATATTTTAACTAGATTATTTATATTACCAAAGTAATATTAATACAATTTAGTTTTATTCAATAAATTGAATTTAGAAAAATGATTTTGGCTAAGCGATAAGCATTTTGGCTTCCGTTACTTATAATAATCCAAATAACATATTATAATAATAATAACGCTATAAGAGTTGTTATTGAATTGTTTTTAACAGAATGAAAGATTGCACTTTTTAACAGTTATCGCTTTAGAGTAAAACCACCAGTTGTGTCGACGTTGTGATCGTTGGGGCCTCGGAATATACGTAGGATATTATAAAAAATAAAAAAAAATGCTAAAATACAATTTATTTGATATATAATCATCTAAATTACATATATGTTCATATGAACTATACTTTCTCATGCACGTAAAGACATCCTATACTTTTGCTCATCCCTATTGTAGTAAACAAAAAAAACCCCATCATAAACAATATTTTATTTACAGCACACCCACTTTCTAGCATGTTCTAAAATTACATCGTCCTTTGTCCGATATTCTTTACCGCAAAACATTGCGTATATTCCGAAGCTATAAAAAACACACTGTGACCTGTCTGTTTATTTTTCACATGTTTATTCGTTGGTTCGATGTAAATTATAACCAAATATTTAGAACTATTATTAAGAACAGTTTAAATTTTGTATATTTTCGTTAAAAAATTTGGGCCCAATGTGGGGCTATATTTTATTATTAGAATTGCTCATGTCTTCGTTTATTATCTCTTACTTTGCTTAAGTAAAGTTAAAAGTTTTCTTGGGAATTTGAATAATCAAGAAATAAATAGTTAAAATTGCGGATATTATTTTCATATTTGATTTTGAATATGAAATCTATTGATAATTTGATTTTTAATTTTGTCTTAATATAAATAGTACGGTGTTTAAACCTGTGCACCTGATTTTTTTAATAGATTCTAAATATTTGGTCCAACAGTTTGAAATATAGCAATATTTTACACAAAATAACGAGATTGCTTCAGAATAATTTTGAAACAATTTATCGTTATTTACTGATTGGTTATTTGTAAAATA